CACGCGCGCCCGGAGGGTACCGAGGCCGCCCTCGGCGTCCAGGCTGCGCCTTAGGGTCTGCTCCAATCTTTAGCGTGTTTTTCGCCTCTGTTTTGAGGTACTGTCTTTTACCATTTGTTTGTGGGGTGGGGGGGTTGGGAGGTTGGGGGTTTATGGCTTAAGTTTTTCTAAGTGCTTTTGGTAGCTTTTGTTTTGTTGTTGTTTGGCTTCTTTGCTTGCAGGCTCTTAGGTTTGTCGAGGCCTCCAAGGGTTGGTAAGGGTTTCTGTTTCCTTTCATTTTTTTGGGGTTGAGGGTTTAGGGTTTAGGGTTTCGGGTTTCGGAGAGGGGGGGTGGGTGGTTTGGAGGAGGGTGGGGGGGGGGATCACTCTGAGGCTGCTGCAGTTCACACTCTTGGCGGCATTCCTGCGGCAATATTTTCGGGGGGGACATGTGGGATTCTCCCATGTAGCACTTCTTCTCCGCTGGAGCCGCCAAAACCCCGAAACCTCTGAACCCACTCAGACAACAGAAGCACGAGGAACACCGCACGAGGTCCTCAATGGTCATGTAGGTGGGACTGATGAGACCGAACTCGTCTTTCTGAGCGCAAATGAGGCCATCAAGGATGAAAAGGCTCTGAAATTTGGGGGGGGGGGGGGGGTTAACGACAACAAGGGGCCCCTAGGCACGATAGACCCCCTAATTGCAAGGATCCCCTTACCATCAGGACCCCAAGAAGGTACCGCGAATATCCTAAACCCCGAAGTGGCAAGATCGTTCAATCAAGGCGACGTGCCTGCTTCCTCTCTTCTGCGAAATTCTCAAAGATGATTCGGCTGAACTCGTCCAGCTCCTCCTGCGTTCGGGAGTCAGGCTTTAGGGTTTTGGGTTTGGGGTTTAGGGTTTAGGGTTTAGGGTTACTGTGCTCTTGTCTTGAAGCATCAGGTTCAGGATGCTCATGCGATGCTAATGTCCCTCGGGGCGCGCAAACAATTGTGCCTGTGCAAGAAAACCTCGGAAGCAACATCAGCGCCTCCGGCTCAATCTTCGTCGTCGGAGTCACCTGCAAGGGTGGCGAATCCTGATCCCTGCTCTGTTCTGTGGTAAGGAGCTCGAGTGGAGACAATACCATACATATAGCGGGTTTCCGCGTCTCCTTTTTCTGGCAACCTAGATCCCTAAACCCTAAACCCAGCTCTTCTACTCAAGATGTCAGGATGTGTCGTATACACTTACGAAGTGTGAGGGTCGATGTTCAGAGAGGACTTAGGGGTTGTAGCCTATGCAATTCGCAGTCCAACTTCTTATAGTTCTGGTTGTGGCAAGTATGGTATAGAGCCCTACTGAGCCCTACTCCCCCCCTTATGAAGGGCAAGGGCTTTTGGGGTTCTCTATGGTCCGAGTTTCCTGGCTTGGCCGGCCTCTAACGCTGGCGCGAGCTTCGCAAACTCCTGCGCAGCTCGGCGAAGAGGTATACTCCGCTGGTTGAAGGATTCCAGGGTTTAGGGTTGGGTTGTGTATGATACCCTAAACATAGGCTTATAAGGCTTTGGGTACCCTGCTGTGGCAGACCTTCTCAGACGGATCTGGACTTTCTCGTCAATTGTGGTGCTTCGTCCGCCCTAGCGACGCTCGGGTCTTGTAGGTGGGTTTCTGCTGGTGTCTGGCGGCTCTGATTCGCTCTGATCGCTAAACCTTACACCTTGGGATGTTCCTCCTTGTACTAACAGTCCTTAATTCGGATTATAGTACCCCCTCTTATAATCGTCTCAGGGGGAACATACCTATACCCAACTCGACCCACAAAGCCCCAAAAAAAAACCATGGACCCCCATATGGAGCCTCGGCAGCCTGCTGGTACTTCTGGAGCTGCGCCTCCTTCTCCTGAATCTTGGTAGCCCAGTTTAGGGTTTAGGGTTTAGGGTTTAGGGTTTAGGGTTTAGGGTTTAGGGTTTAGGGTTTAGGGTTTAGGGTTTAGGGTTTAGGGTTTAGGGTTTAGGGTTTAGGGTTTAGGGTTTAGGGTTTAGGGCAGTAACCATACTATAATAAGGGCACCCTTTTTGGGTTGGATATTTTATAAGGGAACCCATAAACCAAAAAGAGGGTAAGGGTACCCCACTGGGCTACCAAGGAATTTAGGCTGCGTGGGAAGCTAAGAGTTTAAGGCTGTCAGGGTTGAGGGCTCAGGGCGTAAACGAAACCATCACCCCAAATAGCTCTAGCTTCCCCAGCAGCATAAGAATAAAAAGGGAGACCAGGGACGGAAACCCTAACGGCGGGGAAACACGGCACCCTAAACCCTGAACCCTGAACCCTAAACCTAAACCCTAAACCCCAAACCCCAAACCCTAAACCCTAACCCCAAAGCCTGAACCCTGAACCCTGAACCCTGAACCTTAAACCCTAAGCCCTAAGCCCTGCCCTATTGAGCATCCTACATGGTGCCTCCAGCTCCCTCGTCTTCTGCTCGAGCTGCTTTTTGAGGTCGTCGCGTTCCTCCAGGTTTGGTGCTTCAGGGCTTGTAAAGCTCATTTATTGGGGGCTTAGGGCTTAGGTTAGGGTTTCCATCCTTAGGGCTTAGGGCTTAGGGTTTAGGGTTTCGGGTTTAGGGTTCAGGGTTTGGGGTTTGGGGCTTGGGGTTTTAGGGCTTAAGGTTCAGGGTTTAGGATTTAGGGTTTAGGGTTGAAGGGTTGAAGGGTTGAAGGGTTGAAGGGTTGAAGGGTTGAAGGGTTGAAGGGTTGAAGGGTTGAAGGGTCCAAGCCCCCTTGCAACGAAAACCCGTACTTAGCCTCAACCCCGGACTAAACCCCCAAACAGCCCCCGCGCCGCGCCGCGACTGCTCTACGACTCTAGGCGACCAACTGGACCTGGGTAACCCAGGTGAGCCATCTTTTCTTAGGCACTTGGGGGCAAATCCTAAACCCTAAACCCTAACCCCTAAACCCTAAACCCTAAACCCTAAACCCTAAACCCTAAACCCTAAACCCTAAACCCTAAACCTAAACCCTAAACCCTAAACCCTAAACCCTAAACCCTAAACCCTAAACCCTAAACCCTAAACCCTAAACCCTAAACCCTAACCCTAAACCCTAAACCCAAAGCCTCGGCTTATTCGTTTCGGGCCTTCGGGTTGAACCTTGCTCGGAAGCTTACAGGGCTTTGGCACCTTCTCGGTGTCGCCGACGTACTTCATCAGCAGCTGCATCTTCTTGCCTGAAAGGGGCTTCGGGGTTTTGGGGTTAAGGCCCTTGCAGACATGCTGGGAAATGCGGGGTGGGGTTCCGACTTTACTGGCTCTTGGCAAAGACTTAGGGAGCCGGGCTGCATCCTTTCTATGACACGTTGGGGGATCGTATGTGCACCTAATTCCCCAAGTCCTCATTGAGTCACAGAACTCAAAGAAGAAGCAACGGGAAGCGACTTGGGCCCCGAACCGGCTTTCTTGAGATCCTCGCCAGGCTCGCGGATGCGAGGGGTGGGGACTGGACTTCCCCACTAATTAGTCAGCATAGGGTTTGGGGGGCTCGTATAGTAGAATTCGAAAGGGACCATAAGGGGTAATTATTCCGACCCCTATATTACACTTCTCAATAACAAGGTTCATGTGAGGCGCTTACTATATCTGTAGGGCGGTTTTCTTCCAACTCTTCATGATGCGGGGGACATCTCAAACCCTGAGTCCTACCTACACCCTAAGACCCTTTCTTTGGGATCCTGAGCGCGATCCCCTGACACACTCTTTTCTCACCCACAAACTGCCCAAACGATCAAGCCTCCAACCCTCAAAAAAAAACACCGAAACCTATAGACCCCAAGACAAACCTCAGAAACTTTCAAGAACCCTGAGCCACGAGGGACAAAAGGCACTAAACCCGAAATTTACACCCTAAACCTTGAATTTAACCACTATAAACCCTGAAACTAACCCTAAACCCGTAAACAAACTTTTCCCGCAGGCGAGACGCGGGTCGGGCGCTAGCTCACACACCGGGGAGTCGGAGGGGAGGCACGGGACACATTAGACCAGAAGCCCTCATGAAGGGAATCAAGGAGGGACCCTTTTCAGGGACCTTAGGGGTAATTTGGGGGTTATTTAGGCCTCAAACCCAGCACCAAGGCTAGGCCAGATGGTCACCTCTCCAAACTAGTCCCCTTTGAGGGGGTCCTTTGATGATAAGGAGGCCCCGACTGTTTAGGATACCCAAAAAGGGGCACCATCATTTCGAGAACTCACCGTATATCCGACAAGCACCCCTCTCCAACGCCCGGGGTAATCGTTAACACAGAGCGGCCACGCAGAATCCCCCCAGTTCGGGTCGGCTTCAGATCTTGTTTTAGCGCTTTAGGGGTCAGGGGCTTTCGAACTTTGGGGCAGAAGGCTCAGAGTTGGGACCAGAGTTTCAAACCCTGAGCCCCTAACCCCAACGCCCTGCTTGCAAATGAATCTGGTATTGGGACCCAAGGGGCCGGGTTAAGGCTTTAGGGTGAAGGGTTGAGGGTTCAGGAAATTAGGGGTTCGAACCGTAAGTTTCCTGCCCCCAAAAAGCCCAAACTAGGCCCCCCAACGACCTCCTGCAAGCTTGGGTTTAGCGCCAATGGGCGCGGTTGAACCTACCCTAAACCCTAAACCCAGTAACCATATCAGAATAAAGGTACCCATTTTGGGGGCTTGGTGACTTACCCTAAACCCTAAACCCTAAACCCTAAACCCTAAACCCTAAACCCTGAACCCACTGGGCTACTAAGTTCCAACCGAAGGAAGCCGCAATTCCTTCGCCCGGGGAGGCTTCTGCAGCCCCTCTGGAGCCGCCACTTTGAGCAGGGCTCGCGGGGGCTTAGGGTTTAGGGTTTCAGGGTTTACGGGTTTAGGGGTTTCGGGATTTAGGGTTTCGGGTTTAGGGTTTAGAGTTTAGGGGTTTAGGAAAGGCTCAGGGCTTAGGGAACTGCTGAAAACCCAAAGCGTTAAGGGTTAGGGGTTTAGGGTGTGGGGTTTAGTTCCCTTAATCCGCAGGCGAGGGCGCTAGGGGCTCTTTGTCCGGACGGCGCTCAGGAAGCTCAGAACGCTATTGAAGAGTCGGTGCATGAGCTGCGCGTGGGCCTCTGTCGTAGGGTTTGGGGTTTGGGGCTTCGGGTTTAGGATTGAGAGTCCTAGGATTTGGGGTGTAGTACATAGGGTTTGGGGGTTGAGGTTTTAGGGCCCATCTTGTGGGATGAACTTATCAAGCTGAACTACCCTTTGGTAGCTAAGTTGGGGGGGCGTAGCGGGTCCTGTGATCCTTGGCTCGAGATCAACAAACAAGGGGAAGTCTGCAAACAGGGGCCCTAAACCTGTTGAAAACCCTACGACCTCAACCCTAAACCCCCAACCCAACACCTCAACCCCCAAACCCCTAGACACCCACCAAGAAACCCTTAAACCCGTAAACCCTCTCGGCCCGTTCTGGATGCCCACCTGCGACAGGAGCTTCCAGGCGATGTTCTTGCGCTTGTCATCAGGGAAGACAAGCACAACCTCCACGGGATCCTGCAGGAGGCAGGAACTCTCACAAGGAAGAGTGGTAAGAGTCATTCTCCTCCTTCCGCCCTTTACACCCAAAACCCTGAACCTCATAAGCAGGAAACTCTAAACACCCAAGCAGAAGACTGAGGCTTCTAAGCCGGAGGCCCTGAGGCAACCCCGTCCAGCCTCGGTGGATGCGGTTAAGGTCCTGCGAGTGGACTGAAGGTTTAGGCTTCAGGTTTATGGGAGTTCCAGGCTTCAAAGCTCGGGATTTTTACAGTACCGGTCGAGTTTGACCGGAATTCTCAGTGGCCTCAGGATCTGGAATGGAGAAGCTCCAAAGTCAAAGCAACTGCAAGTTGAACACGGAAACTTCTGCCCATGCCACCTTGAGGGACTGAATTAGGAGGTTCCGGGGTTTAGGGTTTAGGGTTTAGGGTTTAGGGTTTACAGGGAAAGGGGCAAACAACCAGCGCCACGCGCAGTCCCGCTGGCGAGGCCGTCGCGAGGGTAGCCGCCCGAAGGCTGCTTGGCACCGCGCAGGCCTCTGGGGGTCTAAGGCTGGCCGAAGGGAAGCACCTGCAAAACCCTTACCTTGCGATGTTCCCCCTTATGCTAGCATAGGGATTCTAGTACCCCCGATTACAATCCCTCATAAGGACTGTTAGTAGAAAAGGGAGCATCCCAACCCCAACCCCAAAAAACATCCCTAAACCCCTAAAAACCTTTACGCTTCGCCTGCCAGCATCCGCAAGGCAGGTGAGCGCGGAGCGAACACCTGCCAGTTTTGGTGGGCTTTTGGGTTAAAAAGGCTTTCTTCTCTTTTCTCCCTTCTATATTCTTGTATAAATACCATCATGATTAGTGAATCTAGGGCTTCGGATGGCGGCTGCTTTCGTACATAGGGCCCTCTGACGGGCCGCGACCATCCTGAAGGTGAGTCACAACCCCGCAGCAGCCGGAGCCCCTCCAGGCTCTTGGGGGGGAGGGGGGGTTGTCTTGCAGGTACCTTGCATTTTCTGGTAGGGTTTAGGGTTGAGGGTTTAAGGTTTAGGGTTTAACCTTTAGGGTTTAGGGTTTAGGGTTTAGGGTTTAGGGTTTAGGGTTTAGGGTTTAGGGTTTAGGGTTTAGGGTTTAGGGTGGCGCCAACTAAGAACAACCCTCATATCGTCATGGCCAGTTCTTTTGGATGACAATCCCTTTTTGGAGGTCCCTCTTAATTACAACACGGCTAGATGGGATTCTTTGGGGTACTGCACCCTGACCATACTGATAGTTATCTTTAGACATATACTCAGGTAACATTATACAATATAAGAATGTCAGAAGATAAAGGTATAACAAAAAACAATCATATACTAAAGACTAGCAATATACCAACATATGAATACTGCAATAATGTAGTAAATGGAGGGTTTACGATAATCAGGGCCCCCAAATATAGACCCCAAATAGTAGCATCCCCTTGTAGTGTGAACCCCAAACGGTACCCCTAACATCGTAAACCCCCAAACAACACAATACGCTACTACAAGAAAACACGAGAAAAAACTAATATATGAATATATGAATATATGAATATATGAATATATGAATATATGAATATATGAATATATGAATACATGAATATATGAAGATATGAATATATGAATACATGAATATATGAGTATATATATATATATATATTTATTTATTTATTTATTTATATATTTACATATATATTTATGTTTATGTTTGTATCTATATTTATAGCTATCTTTATCTTCATCTTTATCTTTATCTTTATATTTATATTTATATGTACTTTTTATATTTATATGTATCTTTATCTTTATATTTATCTTTGTTTTTATATTCATATGTATATGTATATTTATATATTTATATTTATATGTGTATTTATATATATATATATATATATATATATATATATATTTGTTTATATTTATCTTTATATTTTTATTTTTATTTATATTTACATTTATTCTTACATTTCTGTTATATTTATATCCATACTTATATCTATATTGTATACAATAATCGATGTGAATATACTTGTACCTTAATCAACAATGCGATACGGCGTGGGGTAGCTCCGGGCCTGCAGGCGCAGAGACGGCGCCTCTGCGTTGCCCCAGAAGCTGCCCGACGCCTTGGCGTTCTCGTCACCTCCTCGGTGCGCCGTGGTCTTAAGTGCGTTGAGGGTTAGGGTTTGGGGTTTAGGGTTTAGGGTTTAGGGTTTAGGGTTTAGGCTTTAGGGTTCAGGGTTCAGGGTTCAGGGTTTAGGGTTTAGGGTTTAGGGTTTAGGGTTTAGGGTTTAGGGCCAAGTTTAGGGTTTGGGGTGTTCCTGTTCTTACTCCCTTCTTAGCATCATTCCTGTCGTTGGCCGAGTTTCTTGGCCCTCAACCCCTACACCTCTAAACACCCAAACCCCTTGAAACCCTCGAAACCCCTAACCACCCTCCCCCCAACCCGTAAACCTTCAAACCCCGACACCCTTACACTCGTAAACCCCCAACCCCCCAAAAAAAGGAAAGCCGCAACCCGAGCGTCCGTTGTGGAGGACGACCAGCCGCAGCGGCTCCGCAATGACGGGCTCGGCATTCAGGGCCTGCGATTAACCCGGGGATTCCCCACTCTTGTGGGGCTCGGGCATAGGGCGGTTCGAGATAAAAAACCTTATTTAGTCCTTTTCGGGGTATAAGTTCGTTCATACCTGATCTAGGTAAAAGGTTCGTACTCGAAAGGTAGCAGGCACTCTAAGCCCTAAAACCGCCCAACAAAGCGCCGGAGAAGTGGCTCTGTCTGCTGCCGGCGGTACCTTCACCGTGTCTGGTCGGGCAAGCAGGAGCGTGTGCCCGGAGGGCATGAGGTAGAGGTGCTCCTGAACCCTAAATCCTGAACCCTGCACCCTAAGCCCTAAGCTCTAGACCCCAAACCCCTAAACCCTACACCCTAAACCCTAATCCTAAGCCCTAAATCCCAAATCCTGTGCCTTGGGTTGGGGTTCAGGGTCTTGGAGGCTCGGCGGGAGTCTACAAGAGTCCCGCTCGCCTTGCCCCTGCTTGTGAGCTTGAGGTTTCGGGTTCAAGGGCTTCGGGGGTTTAAGGGTTTAGGATTTAGGGGGGTTACTAGGGGGCTTGTTAGGGGTGTAGGGGTTTATGGGTTAGGGGTCTAGGGGTGTGGGGCTTTGGTGCTCTTCGGCTTCGGGGCCAGGAATGCACCCTAAACCCTAAACCCTAAACCGGGCTCCTCGCGGCCATCCTCCAACATCAGGCCCGGCACCGAGCACTTCACGCGGTTCATCTTGCCGACCTGGGGAATGCATGCAAGGCTGCGAAACAAGTGGCTGCATGTTGTTCCACTGTACTATACTGTACTACACTGTACTACACTGTACTATACTGTACTATACTGTACTATGCTGTACTATGCTGTACTATACTGTACTATGCTGGACCTAACAAGTGCTCCTGATGGTGGTGGGTGGCCTTTGGTACCCTTCGCCGCTCGACTTTAGAAAACCCGACAGACCCCCTGAAAGGGCACACGGAGACGGAAAGTCCAAACAAACATACGAGCAAAGGCCAAGAAGCCCTCAACCCGCAAAAGCCAAACCCTAAGCCTAAACCCCCTAAACCCCCTAGACCCCCTAAACCCCCTAAACCCCCCCCCAAAACCCCCTAAACCCCCTCAACCCCCTAAACCCCCCCCCCCCAAACCCCCTAAACCCGCCCCAAAACCCCCTACACCCCCGAAACCCCCTAAACCCCCGAAACCCGAAACCCCAAACCTTCAAGGCCCTAAACCCTAAAACGTCTCGGGAGTGATGCCCCCCATGTTGAGGCCCAGGGTGCCAGCACACCGACGCCGGGCTGGTAGCGGAGCAGCTCGTCCCTCTCACCCTGGCCACAACAACAACTCGAAGCCCTCGCTTTGGGGCTTGGCATCCTCGATTTTTTAAGTCTGGGGTTGAGGGTTGCGGGTTTAGGGTTTAGGGTTTAGGGTTTAGGGTTTAGGGTTTAGGGTTTAGGGTTTAGGGTTTAGGGTTTAGGGTTTAGGGTTTCGGGTTTCGGGTTTCGGATTTCGGGCTTAGGGGCCCTGAAGTCTTGAGGAGTCACTTCCTGGCCTTGGGCGAAGTGTGGGTCTGTAGCGACGATGAAGTCTGAGCAGTCTAGGTGGGTGGACAAAGCTGATTTAGGGTTTAGGGTTTAGGGTTTAGGGTTTAGGGTTTAGGGTTTAGGGTTTAGGGTTTAGGGTTTAGGGTTTAGGGTTTAGGGTTTAGGGTTTAGGGTTTAGGGTTTAGGGTTTAGGGTTTAGGGTTTAGGGTTTAGGGTTTAGGGTTTAGGGTTTAGGGTTTAGGGTTTAGGGTTTAGGGTTTAGGGTTTAGGGTTTAGGGTTTAGGGTTTAGGGTTTAGGGTTTAGGGTTAGGGAAAGACCGCTGCCTCTTCCAGGCCAGGCATTTCCAGAGAGGATTTCCTCGGACCATTTCGAGCAGGATGGCCACTCACGTACCCCTAACACCCAAGCCCCAGGCCCTACGTGGTAGTAATAACTATTTCCGAAAAAACAGCGGGATAATATTATATACACCCTAAACCCTAAACCCTAAACCCTAAACCCTAAACCCTAAACCCTCCTGATTTCTTCAGCATCTTTGCAAGGGGCGAGGACATCAGCCGGTGGAGCGCCAGAAGGAGCCTCGGTAGGGGGCGGGGGAGAATGAGACGAAGGGCTTCTACTAAGGGGAAAAAAAAGGAGGGACCCCCTAGAAGGGGCCCTTAACCTTATTCCTCTCAATAACCCCCTATGTCTTACATAGTCCCTATGTACCTTAGTAGGCCCTAAATCGCCCCGAAAAAAAAAAACCCTAGGCCCCCTCAAAAGGGTCCCTCCTCTAGTCCCTGGACTCTAGACCCCCGAACCCTCCAAGGCCTCACGGGCCTAAAACCCAAAAGGTTCCAAAGCAGCCTGGTGGCCGGAAGCAGCGCGCCCGGTACGGAAGGCCCGACGCTGCGTCCGGCGTGGAGCCTAACAGATTCCGGGCTTCAGGCGGTTTAGGGGTGGGGGGGGGGGGTTCGGGTTTAAGCCCTAAGCCAAAAACAACCTTAGGGTCATAAGGGCAACGTTCAGACCAAAAGAGAGAAACACACCCATGGGTTTTGGGGCTTTAGGCCTGCGGACTTCCTCGTGACAACCTGCGTGGTTCCCGGAGCCGAATTCAAGCAAGGGCCTTCACCCTAAAGCACTTTCCCCCTACACCCCGATCCTTTCAGCTTATGAAAACTAAAACACAAACCTAAACCCACAAAGCCCGGACGCCTGGTTCGGTCAGACTATCACTCCGCGGTTTCTCGGAAAGCATGGAGAGGTCCTCCGCCGGATTGGGGAGGCTTCGGGGGGGGGGGGGGGGGGGGGGGGGGGGGCGGGGGGGTCCCTGTCCCTGGGAGGCTCTGAAGGCCTTCGGGTGACATGGTTTTTAGGAAACCATCATCAGGCTTCCGACTTTAGGGTGGGTTTAGGGTGTAGGGTTGAGGCTTGAGGGTTTAGGGCTTCGGTCTTAGGGCTGCAGGCTTATCAGAGCGCTCCAGAACTTCCCCCCCCCCCCCCCACAAAAAAAAAAAAAGTGCACCGCAAGCCCGTCGTCCTGTGCCGAGGCATGCCACTGCTGCTGGAAGTCCTGCGCAATCCCCCTGCTTTTCAAAACCCCCAAACTCCAAAGAACCCCTGAAGCCCCCCCCCCCCCCCTCAACCGTCTCTTCCGACTCTCGGGCACACCCCCCGCCCTCAAGCCCCAAACCCCAAACCCTCAGCCCTGAAACCTAAACCCTAAACCGTGAACCCCAAGCCCTGAGCCCTAAACACCCTGCGCCCTAGACCCTGTTCCCCAAACTCCTCAGTCCCCAAAAGGTCTCAGGCAGGCTTCAGGTTGGTAAACGTCCCATACAAGCTTCTCAAATCCTAAACCGCGTACCTCTGGCAGAGCAAGTACTGCACTCAAGAACCCCAAACGAAGCCTTAAAACCCCAAACCCTGGCATGGTTGGGCCCCTCTAAAACCCTCCCAAGCCCACCCAAACACCTCAACACCCCAACACCCAAAACCCACCAAAACCCAAAACCCACCCCAAACCCACCAAAACCTCTACCCACGAAAACCCCACCACCAAAACCCAAACCAGGACCTGGAGCCAGGCGCATTGGCCCTGAATGTCCATACATCCCTGGAGCTTGGCCTTTCGGTTTGGGGCGGTTCAAGGACTCTGGGGGCTTTCGGGGTTTGGGGTTTACGGGGGCTTCGGAGGGGTTTAGGCGTTTAGGGTTTTCAGGGCTTCAAGGGTTGAAAAGGGCTTGTGTGTGTGTGTGCACTTGTTTAGTGCTAGGTTTCAGGGCCTGGGCTGTCGCTTAGCACACCCCATGCGCCCCTTCCCTCACAGGCATGCTCCAAGGGTGTGCCTCAACAAACCTATGGACACGCCTAAACCCTAAACCCTAAACCCTAAACCCTAAACCCTAAACCCTAAACCTCATGATGCGGCGCCAGTCTCCCTGATGTGTACTGCACAATCGAGCGGAAGGTCGAACAAAAAGGGAGAGCGCGCCTCATGGAGAAGCTCGTCCGCAAGAGGTGCCAAGAGCTTCTCCCTGCGAAGGCTTGGGGGGTCGGCGCTTGAAAACATCGGCTGTGAGGCGTAAACAGTCATCCAAACTGGGGAGAAGAGAGGTTTTCACGCCAGATCCCAAGCAAAAATCCCTTGAACCTCGAGACCATAAACCGGATAAAGCCCTAAACCTCTACGCCCCCAAAACCCTCCACAAAAATTCTAAACAAAAAACCTTCGAAAGCCCCTAGGCCCAGAAAAAGCATTCCCAAAACCCCACTCCTGCCGGCCTGAGAATGGGGCCTATGGTCTGTCGAACCTTCGGGTTACCCGAGGCCAGGAGCTCGCCCAGGGCCCGGAGGCAGGAGAGGCAGAGGGCGAAGCTCAGGGAGCCGTACCTGCTAAGCAGGGGCTTTCGGGGCGGGGGGGGGGGCGGTTTGGAGAACATTTGGGGTTTTTTCGGGTTTGGGGTTTCGGGTTTGGGGTTTGGGGTTTGGGGTCTGGGGTTTGGGGTTTGGGGTTTGGGGGTTGGGGGTTTGGGGTTTGGGCTGCGGGGGGCCGTCGCCTTGCCAAGCAGCTGATGAGGCAGCTGCCCAAGTGCTCAGCCACGGAAGCATCTATCCTCGGCCATGCGCCCCCACCAAGCACCACAAACCAAAGTGCCTAGAAGGGTAGAAGTGCAAAAAGCTAAACAGCATCCTCTCGACCCGCCAAACCCCTAAAGGGGAAACCCCTCGACCTGCAACCCTCAACCTAAACCCCTAAACCCCTAATCCCCTAATCCCCTAAGCCCCAAACCCTTAACCCTTAACCCTTAACCCTTAACCCTTAACCCTTAACCCTTAACCCTTAACCCTTAACCCTTAACCCTTAACCCTTAACCCTTAACCCTTAACCCTTCCCGCGTCCGAGGGGCGGCTCTCCAGCATCTCGGAGGGCCTGGCTTAGGGCTTTGGGTGTTTTAAGCGCACCCCCAGAGCCAAAGGACCTCGAAACCCAAAGCCCTACAAACCCTAACCCACCCCCCCCCCCCTCCCCGCCCCCCATTTACATGGGGGCCTGAAGCGACATCTCCAGAGTGCTGAAGGCGCACATCGCCTCTTGGGTGCGTCCGGAGTGACAGAGGTCACCTCGCAGGTTGGGGCCAGAAGGGAGGAGTGGGGGATTGGAGGTGATAGGGACAGTTTAGGAGGGGAGAGGGCTTGGAGGGGCTGAGAGGGGCTTAGAGGGATTTAAGGGGCGTTGGCGAACTGTTGCGCAGGCAGGTTGAAACCACTTAGGGGAGTGCGTGTGCTGTCTGCGAATGTCAAGCCATCTTTGACCCACAAGTTTTCAGCCCCTCGCCGCAGAAACATCGCTACCAACCCCCACGAAACTCCACTTGGATCCCCTCTGCTGCCCAATGGCCCAAAAAGACTGGCTGGTTCTTAGTAGAGGGCCCTGTATAATCTTTTAAAGGGTATCCCTCATTCCCTACCAAGAACCCCAAACCCTAAACCCTAAACCCTAAACCCTAAACCCTAAACCCTAAACCGGGAAGACCCCCCCCCCACGGAAGGCCAGGTGGCGGAGTCGCAGCTCGAAGGCCTCTACGGCTCAGTTGGCAGGAGCAAGTGGGCACGGAATCAGCATAGGGTTTTGGGTTCAGGGTTTAGGGTTTAGGGTTTAGGGTTTAGGGGTTTAGGGTTTTAGGGTTTTTGGGTTTTTGGGTTTTTGGGTTTTAGGGTTTTAGGGTTTTAGGGTTTTAGGGATTTAAGATTTTAGGGTTTTAAATTTTAAGATTTTAGGGTTTTAGGGTTTTAGGGTTTTAGGGTTTTAGGGTTTTAGGATTTTAGGGTTTTAGGGTTTTAGGATTTAGGGTTTAGAGATTCCCTAGGACACGTTTGCGTTGGCGGGAGAGTTTGCGGTGGTATGAGGGGGTTGGGGGAGCACCTCTTCAGATTGCAACATCATCTGGCTTTTCTCAGGAGAGGCCCATATCCCGCAAGACCCGCACTCTTTGCAATGTCAGGACTCAATCTGATCCAAGAACAAAGCGGAGACCTCGGCATGCCCCCCAACCACAAAGACTCCCAAAACCTCTAAACCCACCCTAAATCCCCAGCCCCATCCCCCCCCTAAACCCTAAACCCTAAACCCTAAACCCTAAACCCTAAAACCCTAAACCCTAAACCCTAAACCCTAAACCCCCCCCCAACCACCTTCAGGAGGCTGTTCCGCCGCAGCGGCTTCCCAGAGGGCTCCGAGGGCGCCAGCTGGTCGGGGGTTTGTGGGGCTTGGGATTCAGGGGTCTCGGGGATTAGGGTTTAGGGTTTAGGGTTTAGAGTTTAGAGTTTAGGGGTTTGGGGTTTGGAGTTTAGGGTTTGGGGTTTGGGGATTGGGGTTTGGGGTTCAGGGCTTGTGGTCTAGGGTTTTGGGTTTGGAGTTTAGGGTTTGGGGTGTGGAGTTTTTGGCTTGGGGCTTGGGTGTTGGGTTTCTTGAGAGTGTTGGAGGAATCTTTTGAGATGCTGTTTTCGGCGGCTGTCCCCTTTGGGAAAGTTGTTGGGGATCTTTTGGGGACGCTGTGCGGGTTTTTGCCGGGTGTTAAGGCTTTGTGCTTTGTCGGAGCTTTCGGGTTTTCGGGTTCAGGGCTTCGAGGGTAAGGGGGATTCAGCCCTAAACCCAAAGCCCTGAACCTTACACCTTGAAACCCTTAAACCAATAACCCTTAAACCCTGAAACCCTGAAACCCTTAAAACCTCAAACCCTTAAACCCCTAAACCCCTGAAGCCTCAAACCCTTAAAACCTCAAACCCTTAAAACCTCAAACCCTTAAATCCTAAAACCCTCAAACCTTCGCACCCTTGAACCTTTAAACCCCTAAACCCCTGAAACCCTTCAACCCTGAAACACTTAATCCCTAAACCCTAAATAAACCCTTAAACCCTTGAACCCTAAAACCCTAAACCCTAAATAAACCCTTAAACCCTTAAACCCTTCAAATAAGGTACCCCATTTTATGCCCGAAATAGAATCGAATCCCCGCAAAGGGACCCCCCAAAAGGGTACCCTCGTTTAATCCTTGAAACCTTAAACCCTTCAACCCCCTAACCCCTAAAACCCTCAAACCCTAAAACCCTAACCCTAACTAAACCCTTCATGCCTTAAACCCTGAAGCCCTTCAACCCGAAACCTACAGAAAATGTGGAGCTGGGCCACCACCGGGATCGGCGCCGGCTCGTAGAGCGATTGGCTCTCGGCCGCTGTGTCCTGCAGGTCCTGAGGTGCTGGGCCCATGTTTGGGGCTGTACAGGGTCTTGGGTTAAGGTTGAGGGTGTAAGGGTTAAGGGCTTCGGGTTGAGGGTTTAGGGTTTGGGGTTTGGGGTTTAGGGTTTAGGGTTTAGGGTTTGGGGTTTTGGGGTTTGGGGTTTAGGGTTTAGGGTTTAGGGTTGAGGGTTTAACCGAGCTCTCCCAGCAAGGGCAAGGAGGGTTTAAGGCTTTGGTGGGATCTTCACCCGCCACAGTACTCTGCAAAATCACTTTTTCCTAAGTCCACAATCCTAAGCCCTTTTAAGATAGGGCCTTCAGAATTAGAATGGGGTTTTGGGGGTTAGTACAGCGTAATCGACAAAGGACCATAGAAATTAATCCGGCCCCTATATGGGGGCTTACGAAAACAAGGGACCCTTCATATAGATGCCAATAACGAACCCCTTGCTTCCAAACCCTAAACCCTAAACCCTAAACCCTAAATCCTAAATCCTAAACCCTAAACCCTAAACCCTAAACCCGCTGAAGAGACCGAATGAGGCCGATGCGAAGGAGCTCTGCTGCGGCGTGCCACCCCAAGACCTCCGCAAAGACCACGGTAGGGGGTTTAGGGTTTGGGGCTTGTGGTTTAGGGCCGAGGGGCTTCTGCATCTTGAAGTACATGGCTGGAGTTCGAGGCGGCGGGGACACGACCAGCCTCGATGCCGATGCGTTTTTTTTCAAAACGAAAAGGGTGCACTGGGGGCGTAAAGGGCTCAGGGGTTTTAGGGTATACTGGTTGAGCGCTGAGGCCACCACCAGCTCGTGGCATGAATGAAGTGCCCAAGGGGGGTCAGGGTTTTGGGTTCGAGGTTTTTTTAAGGCTTGGGGCGCCTGATTCGTGCTTTGCAAGCTCGAATGAGGCGCCCCACGAAGACAGGACTGGGTTCGAGCTCGGGCCCTCCTGGCCCGAAAAACCTGCAAGCTCTCAACCCATCACCCTGCACTCCGAAGCAAGCAAGAAGGTTCTGAACATCGCGTCTTGACAGCGACTTCCTCTTCAACACAGGCTCCTTGATGAAGAACAAAATCTTAAGAGCAAAGCATAGAGAATCGGGGCCGGGAAGCTGCAGAATCTCCTCGGTGATGTGCGGCCGCAGCAGTGAGGTGGCCACCACGGTGCGGACGTGGTGGCTCCTGCTAGGGGCTTTGGTCGCTTGTGTCTGTTCTCGCTTTCTTGCCGAGGGAGTGGGGGGAGGGGGGAAGTGGGGTGCTGAGGGGGTTTAGAGGTTCGGGGGCGAAGTTAGACCGTGTTGAGTGGGATATCTGAGGGTTTGAGGGCAGCCCACCCCACCAACTTTGGCATGTTAGGGTCTAGAGTTTGGGTC